GACGTGGACTCGGGGGCCGCAAGCGCGGCGTGGGGGGGGCGCGGCCCCGGGGGCTTCTTAAACCCCCCGCCCCGGCCCTGCCCGCATTTCCCGAGCACCGCTCCGCCCCCGGAGGGAGAGAGAGAGAGAGAGAGAGAGCGCGCGGCCGGGGAGCCAAGGAGGCCCGCCGAGTCCCGCCAGCCAGGGCGCGAGAGAAGTTGCTAGCAGCGCAGCGCAGAGCGCCGAGTCCCGCGGTCGCGCCCCGACAGCGCCCCAGCCCCAGCCCAGCCCCAGCCCAGTAGGCAGCGCAGCCCCCGCCCCAGCCCCGCGCCAGCATGATTAACAACAGCGGCTACTCGGAGGCCGCGGGCCTCGGCCTGGGCGACGAGGTGGACGACATGCCGTCCACGGAGAAGGACCTCGCGGAGGACGCGCCGTGGAAGAAGATCCAGCAGAACACGTTCACGCGCTGGTGCAACGAGCACCTCAAGTGCGTGGGCAAGCGCCTGACCGACCTGCAGCGCGACCTCAGCGACGGGCTGCGCCTCATCGCGCTGCTCGAGGTGCTCAGCCAGAAGCGCATGTACCGCAAGTTCCACCCACGCCCCAACTTCCGCCAGATGAAGCTGGAGAACGTGTCCGTGGCCCTCGAGTTCCTCGAGCGCGAGCACATCAAGCTTGTGTCCATCGGTCAGTGCGGGCAAGCAGGGCGCGGGCGCTGCGGGGGAGGGGGACGTGACCTGAGAATGGGCCGGCCCGTGGGGGCGGCGGACACAGGTGGTGGGTGGGGGCGGGGAGCTGAGATCGGGCAGAGGGCGACCCCCTGGTACAGGGAGAGGCCCCTGGCCCCGGCTTTCCCCGTCCATCAACGCAGGCCACGAGGGCACTGCCTGCACACGGGTCTGTCCCTATAGCGGCGTCTGGGGGGGGGGGTCCGGGGGAGTCCAGACCTTACCGTTCCTAAGTCCTCCAGCTCAGCCTTCCCGCACACACTCCCATCAACCCGACTCGACTCATTGTCCCCTTCCTTGCCATCAGGCCATCCCAGCTCATGCTTGAGAAGACAGGGTCCGTGCCCATTACTGATTCCTGGGGGGTGTCTACTCCCTAAACAAAGCAAATAGCTTCTTTGCCTCTCAGCACCTCCACGAGGGGAGGACTGGGCTGAAGGCAGGTCCCAGCCACTGCCCATCCGAGGGCTGGAGGCCGAGGGAGAGCTGGTGGCCGGCAGGCATGGGGCTGGGGCCCTCCACAGGCATGTGCACAGCAGCTGGGTTCTGGCCCCTGGGCCAGGGCAGGCAGGGCCCAGACTCAGAAACCTAAAAAGGCACTGAGCGAGTGCAGAGAATCTTAACCCCTGCCTGTCCACCTCCTGTTTCAGCCTGCCTGGGAGGGTGCTCCCCCAAGTCCATGCCAGGCCCCAGCCCACCTGCTAGGCCCGGATTGGCTGCAGCTAACGGTCTGGGTTGAGGGGAGGGAGGAGAAGGCCTGTAGAAGGGAGGAAGTTATTGAGTGTAACCAGATTTGGAAGGTGTATCAGTGCTGGTGGGGGTGGGGAGGCACTCCAGGCTTCCAAGCCTGAGCCAGGGAGCTGAGGGTGGGCTCTGAGTGGCCAGAGGCTGCTCCTTCCCTCCCAGCCCTGCAGTGCTCCCTGCTGGCTAGGGGCCTGGGGAAGACCCCCTACCCCTGTGGTGAGCTTTTAAGAGTCTTGCTGTGATTTACACGAAAGGGCCCCTTGGGGTATACCCCAGGGCCCCAGGAGAGGAGTTTCACACAGGGTCAGGTGCCTTCCCCCACCAGGCTACCCCAGAGCCTATTCTAGATAAGTGAATGTCTGTCCACCCCCACTCTCCCTCAGGGCATCTCTAGGCCTCCTGAATTAGCAGCTGAAGTCAGTCCGGGGCCCTTTGCCCTGTCCAGTCCCGGGCCCTTTGCCCTGTCCAGTCCCTTCTCTAGGCCTTACCCCTTCTGCCCCAATACTGCCCCCCCACCCCACCCGCTCCGGCCTGGAAATAGCCCTGCCTCCGTGACACAGCAGATGTCTCTGAGCTTTCCAGAAGGACAAGCCTGAGGACAGGGGGTGGGGGAAGGGGCCCTGGTGTTTGTAGTAGGGCTGAGGGCTACATGAGTGTGTGTGTGTGTGTGTGTGTGTGTGTGTGTGTGTTGGGGATGGTCAGAGGGTGTGTGGGGGAAGTCAGAGACAAGTCAGCTCTGGGGCTGTCATCCCCCTTGCATGCTGGGATTTGACCTACAGGACTGACTGTCCCAGGTGGGGTCTCAAGGGGAGGGCCTGGGGCCTCACCAGGACTTTATAGGAAACTGCTCAGCCCTCCCCTCCCTTCCCCACTGCGGGGGTGGCCGGCCCCTCTCCAGGCCTCATCCTTCCTGAGCGCACCTCTCCCCTCCCCTGTGGCGGTGCCTGGCTCGGGGCCCCTTGGCTCAACTGTGGAGGGGCCGGCTCAGAGTAGAGGGGGAAGAAGCAAAACATGGTTTGGGGGCGGGAGGGACGCTCCTCATTCCCGGTTCCCGCTGAGAGGACAGGGAACTGTTCCCCATTTGGGCCAAGTGGCTCCCTCGCGCTGATGAGATAAGCTGTCAGCAATTCGGGGCGGGCCTGAGGCTGAGGGGGGAGGGGAGGGGGCGCCGGCAGCAGGGAGATGTGAAGGGATTCCCCACCAGGGGTGGCCTTCTGCTTCCTCTCATTCCCTCTGGCCCACGTAGCGGTGGGAAGGGACTATGGGGTGGGGGGCTCCTCTGGGCATTGTCCCAGGACTGAAATGGAGCATCTGGGCACCTGGGAGGGGGTCAGAAGGACTCCCCACTTCCCTTTCTAGGAGTGGGGTGGGAGCTGGGAGCTGAGGAGTCCACCTGAGGAAGGGGTGCTCAGCCTGGGTTGACGAGCTGTGTGCCCTTACCCCAACACCCCGACCCGGCCCCCACCACCCCCTCAACCCCTCCAAACAAAGAGGCCTAATGAGGCAGCTCTGTGCCGCAGCTGTTCCCCAGTTGCTCTTCCTTCTAGAGCCAACAGCTGAGGGAGGGGCGGGAGGGGGCAGCAGCTGGCCAGCACCTCCCTGGCCCAGGCCCTCTCTCCTCCCCCTCCACTTGAGGCCTGGGGTGGCCTCAGGGACCGCTGTCAGGCTCCTCCCACCCCTTTGGGGGTGTCCCCCAGCTGGAGAAGAAATGGTGACTCCAGGGTGTGAGGGAGGAGGCCTGACGCCTGGCTTGACCGGAGCGTCTCTCTTCTGCCTGGCCTGGGGGCGGGGGCGGGTAGGGAGAGGAAGGTCATTGCTCCAGAGCCGGGCTCTAGGCCCCTCTCCTGCCCCAGGCCACAATGGACCACTTGCTGCTTGGCCCAGGACCAGTTACTGGGAAGAAACTTCTCCCTGAAGCAAATATGAATGACACTCCCTCCCACCCCAGCAACCTCAGGGCCTCCCTGCCAGGAATCGGGCCCCAGTCTGCAAGAAGCACTGCTGGGTGTGTGCGCCCTGGCTTTGGAGGCTGTCGGGTGGTAAGAGGCGGCAGGGCACTGGATGTCAAGACTGTGTGAAAGTCTTGTGGACCGTGTGTTTGAGAGAGCGCCCTGGAGCGCCCTGGGGCACCGGGAGGCCCGGAGTGAGTGTGTCATGGAATCTGAAAGCTGCCAAACCATTGTGCTGCAGCCGAGCCAGGGGGGGCGAGGGGGCGGGCTGGGGAGCTGCCGGGGAAGGAAGGATGAATCAGTGAAAGGGTGGGGGAGCCAAGGGGGCTAGAGCTGGAGGCCAGAGGGATGCAGAGGCTGAGATTCTGCCTCTGGGGGGCTGGTGGGGTGGGGTGGGGGGTGCTGGAGTAACGCAGGCCTTTGGTCTCCTAACACCTTTCTCCTAAGATCTAGAGGAGGAGGAAAAGATGTGTAAAGGGGGGTGCCTCCAGCCCCACCCTCTCCTATCTCTCAGGCAACACCAGTAAACAAGGCTGAGTCTCCCAGCCCCCCCCAGCCCCCTAAAAGTGGTGTTCAGGGAAGCTGACGGATTTCAGTCCTGCGTTGTTCTTTACAAATAAGCCGGTTTGCAAAGAGCTATATTCTAGTCCACCTCAGCTCCTGGATATTTCTCTCTGGCTGTGGAAGGAGAACTAGGTCCCCCAAATCCTGGGGAGCTGGTGCTGGTATTCCCCAAAGGAGGGGATGGGTGGGGAGTCTGCGCTTCCAAGACTTGAGTCCACATGGGTGACATTCTTCCTGACTCATGTGAAATCCCACTGGCCCCAGCATTTGAAAGCATGATTTTCAAGCCTTTACCCAAAGTCTGCACTGTACCCCCTCCCTCCTTCCAGAACTTTGTTCCAAAAGCCTTTTATGGTGTTCAGAGGAGAATTTGGCTGGAGCCAGGTTAGTTCTATTCCTCTCCAAGTTCAGTTTTTAAAATATTCATCCATTCAGCCAGTACTTGAGACCCTACTAAGTTCTAGACTCTGAGCATAAGGAAATAAAATAGTGTCTAGTGTGAAAGAAGCCAGACAAAAAGAGTACATACTATAGGATTCCATTTGTATAGAACTCTAGAAAATGCAAACTAATCCGTAGTAACCAAGGGCAGACCAGTTGTTGCCTGGGAAGGGGGGACAAGGAGGGACAGATGCAAAGAAATTTGGGGAGAGATGGATATGTTTATGACATGGTGATGGTGTTACGGGCACATACTTATCCAGTTGTGTACTCGAACATGTGCAGTTTCTTGGATGTCAGGCATACCTTAATAAAACTGTTAAAAAATGAAACAAAACAGCCTCTGCCCCCAAGAGGCTTACAATCCCGGATAATTGCCCAGATGCCTGTAGCCTGATGGAGGCCCACGCACGCGCCGTTCCACAGGTGAAAGTACCTGTTGCGGGGGAAGCAGCCTCATTCCGAAGGGAGGGACCCAAAAGTGTTAGGCTTCTCGGTCCGGCCTCGTGGGAGGGTGAGAATTTGGTAGGCAGAGAATGGGGCAGGTTCCAGAATCAGGAGTTCTGACCACCCCCCACCACCCCACCCTCCCCCGGGCTCTAGCAGCAGCTTCAGGAGCTGAGCTGGGGAGGGCAGCCCCCTTGCTGAGCCCAGCTTGTCCTCCTTGCTCTGCAGACAGCAAGGCCATCGTGGATGGGAACCTGAAGCTGATTCTGGGTCTAATCTGGACGCTGATCCTGCACTACTCCATCTCCATGCCCATGTGGGAAGATGAGGATGACGAGGATGCCCGCAAGCAGACACCCAAACAGCGTCTGCTCGGCTGGATCCAGAACAAGGTGCCGCAGCTGCCCATCACTAACTTCAACCGCGACTGGCAGGACGGCAAGGCTCTGGGCGCCCTGGTGGACAACTGTGCCCCTGGTGAGTGGGCCGGTGGGCCCATCCTGGAGCCCTTCGCTGGTGGTACTGAGGCCTGTGCTTGTCAGAATGCATATCTCAGGGCTGGGGGAGTCGGAGTGTGGGGGCGGGGGGTGGGGGCGGAGGGGGCTTGCCCCCTGCTCCAGCCGAATCGAGAATCTTTGCTGGCGTCAGGCCCTGCCTGCTGGGTGTGCCAGATCCTGCAGCTGCAGCAAAAGGTTCAGAATTCCTCGTTCTACAGAGAAGGACACTGAGGTCCAGAGAGGGCCAGTGACTTGTCTAAGATCACACAGCTTATTTGTGACAGAACTGAACTAGAGCCCAAGGCCTCAGCTGCCTGCTCCAGGAGCTTCCTACTTCGCCACAGGGGTACACTTTCTGCTGAGCTGAGAGGACAGAAATGTGGTAGGACTTGTAGCCAGAAGGCCGGGAGCTGGACCCTGAGAAGGTTCTTCTTTGGGAGACCCTGGGAGAGGCTTGAGGAGGGGCTGAAGCTGGTGTGGCACCGCCCAGTGGCTGGTGACCCAGCCCTGCCCTCTCTCACTGTAGGTCCCGGCCTAGTCAGGTGGGGGCAGCTCAGGACCCACGAGGAGACTGAGGCATCACAGACTAGTGCCCTGCCCCACAGGCGGCTCCCTCTTTGACCATCACTGCCTAAGAAGAGAGGTTGTCTTCTCACTCGGGTGGATCAGCTCTGCTCCTAGCCCCTTGGGAGAATCCTCCCCCAGCCTAGGGTCAGCCGGGGAGCAGGGGGCGGGAGGCGGGGGCACGGCTGCCTGGGAAGCATTCCCAGCTGCTGAGCCATTGCCCACAGCTGGTGAGGCCGCCAGCAGTGAGCTCAGCTGTTCCGGCCGTCATGGATTCCAGCCTTTGAGCCGGCCCCCTCCCAACCCAGGAGCATCACCCCTTCTCCAGCTCTGGCCTGGACCAAGCACCCCCCAGCCTCTGTGCCCCTTGACAGGAGTGATCTGGAGCTGCCTTAGCATTCTTCCTGTTAGGAGAGATGGGTTTTGGGTGGCCACAGAGGAGAACCCGTCCTCTGAAAACGTGCCCTTAAGTGCCTCAGTTTCCCCAAGTGGTCAGTGAGGAAGGAGAGGGTGTCTTATGCCCTAAAGCTGATGTGGGAAGTGCTTGGAGCTCTGGGACTTGAGGGCGGCTGTGAGAAGACCTTCTGGGGGACAGGTCAGAGGCATGTGCAGGACGGGGCCTCTGACCTCCCCTGCGCACCCCTGGGGTAGCAGAAATGAGGCTGGAGGGATGGGGGGTGTCCTCACAGGGTCTGCGCTGGGGCCTGGGCAGGCAGGAGGCCGACTGGCAGGGCTGGTGCCAGGCTGCGTCAGCCAGGGCAGAAAGGCCTCATTGTTGGTGCTAGGGAGGGCTGCCGCGCCTCTCGACAGCGATGGGCATCCCAGCCGATGGGCCACAACGTAAGGGGTCAGCAGGAACCTGGCTGCTCAGGGGCCTAGAGCGGCGTGGCGGTGGGTGTGACTCTGTCGGATGAGCAGATGCTCTGCATTCTGACTGGCAGCTTTCCCCTAATCATCGTCTCTCTCTGCCATCTCTCCAGGCCTCTGCCCTGACTGGGAGGCCTGGGACCCCAACCAGCCTGTGGAGAACGCCCGGGAGGCCATGCAGCAGGCGGACGACTGGCTCGGGGTGCCCCAGGTACACGAGCAAACGGGATGGGGGGAGAAGAGAGGGGCAAGAGGACCCAGGATGGAGGTTGGGTCTATAAGGAGGCCCAGTCAGGACGTGGGAAAGAAGTGGGGTTGCTCGGTCGAGGGCACCCTGTGACTCCATTCCTCCCCGTGGCAGGTGATTGCCCCCGAGGAGATTGTGGACCCCAACGTGGATGAGCATTCTGTCATGACCTACCTGTCCCAGTTCCCCAAGGCCAAACTCAAACCTGGTGCCCCTGTTCGCTCCAAGCAGCTGAACCCTAAGAAGGCCATTGCCTACGGGCCTGGTAGGTGTTGAGCCCCTGACCGTCTTCCCTGTGCAGCTGGGTACATCCTAGGATGGAGCTCCCTAAGTACCCCGGCTCTGCCTTCTGTCCCCCAGGCATCGAGCCCCACGGCAACACCGTGCTGCAGCCCGCCCACTTCACCGTGCAGACGGTGGATGCCGGCATGGGTGAGGTGCTGGTCTACATCGAGGACCCCGAGGGCCACACTGAGGAGGTATGGGGAGCCTCTGGGGACGAGAGGGGTTGGCATGGGCTTGGAGCCAGAGACCCACAGGCTAACAACAGGGATGGCCGGGAGATGGCCACCAGAGCTCGCTGCATGCTGGGGGCTGGGGGGTGGGTGGGGCATCACCGTGCGGGCTGCCAGGCACTGTGGGGTCAGGAGGGGCTGTGGCCACTGTGACCTCCTGTCTTTTTCCTTCCCAATAGGCCAAGGTGGTTCCCAACAACGACAAGAACCGCACCTACGCGGTCTCCTATGTGCCGAAGGTCGCTGGGCTGCACAAGGTATCTCCCTGCAGACCTTCCCCATTCCAGTCACATGCTTAGCTCTGGCCGAGTGGACCCCGCTCTCAGCTCGCACCCCCCCCACCCCAGCATACTCGGCGGCCAACGTCTCCCCATCCTTGGCTCTGCTCTGCCCATCCATCCCCTCTCAGAACTGCTTTCCCTGAGAAGCTAATGCTTGCCCCCTGACCCCAGGTGACCGTGCTCTTTGCTGGCCAGAACATTGAACGCAGCCCCTTTGAGGTGAACGTGGGCATGGCCCTGGGGGATGCCAACAAGGTGTCAGCCCGTGGCCCTGGCCTGGAGCCTGTGGGCAACGTGGCCAACAAACCCACCTACTTTGACATCTACACGGCGGGTAAGAATAGGCCCCAGGTGGGTGGCAGCCCGGCAGCCCATGACCACATGGGGTGACATGGATGGGGGCCTGGGACAGAGGAGTGGGTGGGCCCAGAGCGGGGGAGCCCACAGTGGCTGTGTGTGTCTGGAGCAGGGGTGCTCACGGCCTTTGTGCACGGCAGGGGCCGGGACTGGTGATGTTGCCGTGGTGATCGTGGACCCGCAGGGCCGGCGGGACACAGTGGAGGTGGCCCTGGAGGACAAGGGAGACAGCACGTTCCGATGCACTTACAGGCCTGTGATGGAGGGGCCCCACACGGTGCACGTGGCCTTCGCCGGGGCCCCCATCACCCGCAGCCCTTTCTCTGTCCATGTGGCAGAAGGTAAAGGCCCTTCATTCCACAGTCACCCTCACTGAGGCCAGGCCAGAATCACCCCCAAATTTTGGGTCTGAGGGTTTATGGGAATCGAAGGAGCAAATCCAGGGTGGAACGGGAATCAGCTGAAGCTTTAAAATAGGTAGTGTAGCCGTGGAGGGGAGGGGGATAGCTCCGGAGAGACCTCATCCCGGTCATCGCTCCACACACTACCCCCGGGGAGGGTCAGGAGACCACAGTAAAGCATATCAGACAGGGGCCACCTTGGGAGGGTTGCAGGGGCATATGTGATGAGCACCCATACCCCAGGCCTCAGGTGGTGACTCCCGCCACTCGGTTCTCTCCCTGCTGCTCGGGGTCCTCGGTGCCCATCCTCCACCAGGCCAAGGTGGTGGTGCCACGTTCGTAGTATCCGGGGGAGGCGGGGCCGGCATGGCCATAGCTGACTGGCCGCATTGTGATGTGTGGCAGGGCCCAGGCGTGTGGGACTGCCCCCCTTCCGTGGCATTCCGTGGCAGGCCCCACGTTCCGTGCCATTGCCTGCGTCCCGTGCTAGGCCTGGAGTACATGTCATTGCCGGTTTTGTGGCCCTCCCATCGGGTTCGGTGCCATTTGATGTGTTCCGTGGCAGGCCGAGATCGCCATTCTTTGGCCCGTGTTGAGCAGCAAGGTCTGGGTTCATTGCCATGGTGGCGTTCTGTGGCAGGCTGATTTCCCTGCCTTGCCTGCGATCCGTGGCGGGCTTCATGCTGTGTTGGATCTGTGGCCTTGCTCAGTGTGTTGTGGCATGACTTAGTCCTAAAGCTGCTGTGGTGGGTCTGACTGAGAAGGATTAGGTGGCTCTAGGT